GGTTGTTTGCATGCACGCCGACATAATAGGCACCGCTCATGCGCCGTGAAACCGGAGTAACAGCCTTTTGTGCAGAGGTGTCGGCACGCAGCGAGTTTTGAAAGTCGTTTAAAGTTTATATAATATGATGATGATGATGATGATGTTACTTTCACTAAGCATGCCTTTAAAGCAGAAAGGAGGGATAATGAGTCAGGGAGGTAAGACTTCATAACATGATTTCTCAGCCATGATCTGGTCTAAGACCACAGATAATTCTATAATACATTTTTTGTATTCTTTAGAATTGTCATAATTAATTTTCATGCAAAAGGTTTCTTAAGTGATGTTGGCATATCACTCCAGTTGTTTTCCAGTAATATTTAGGACTGATTTCTGTTATTTATTTAGAAAAATAATTGTATATTAATATTAATTGTATATATTTAGAATAAATATAAATAAATTGTTATATTTATTGAATAACAAATCTAACAATTCAAGAGAGGTGGGGGGTGTATAGGGTGGTTCGCCCAGGGTGTCATTTAAACTAGAACCACCACCACTACCCTCCCCGATCGTCCTTGACAGCACGCACACACCTTCAATAGACAGCAATGGCTATTTAATATTTACCTTAAGCTACGTAGCTTTAACAGTATATCAATAGAAGAAGCTGCATTAATAAAATGTTTCAAAAAGCAATATGGATAAATAATATTATTAGTTATAGTGAGTGTGTATAGTAATGCCTTTTGTTCAGTTTGTTCATTTGTTTGGGTAATTAATAAACTCATTATTCTTTCATTCATTTTCTTTTCGGCTTAGTCCCTTTATTAATCCAGGGTCACCACAGCAGAATGAACCGCCAACTTATCTAGCACATTTTTACACAGCGGATGCCCTTCCAGCTGCAACCCATCTCTGGGATAAATAAACTCATTAATCTTCATTAATTTTAGACATGGCATATCTCGTATGATGTACAATAAAGGCATGTAAAAAAAGAAGTTATTTATACAGTATATGAAAAGTGTTTTTAAAATAAACATAGATTTTTATTTGGTTTGCACATGTACTTGCTGAATTATTTCAAAGAATAAATTGCAATATTTCAAGTAGAATTAATTAAATGAATAAAAACTACATTATTTCATTTACCAGAAACAAAAATAAAACATTACACTGAATTCATTATTTTTTTGTGTGCCACCCCAAGATTTGGTGCGGCCTCTTCTGGCCACCCCTAAGAAAATTTTCTGGGGGCGCCACTGGCTGGCTGTAACTGTGATAATTTTTTTTGTTGAAAAAGATACTTTTTTTTTTTTAGAAGAGAATATGATCAACCTTTGATCAAGCCCCGTCACATCGCAGTAAATTCCACTGCTAGTTTGTAGTCGTAAGAAACTAAATAGCTTTTTGATCGACTACTACAAGCTGGGAAAACGTCAGATAAATATGCCAATGCAATTAACATCATTGCTGAATAGATCTCATATTTACACATTTGCTTGAGGAAGGAATGATGGGGGTAGTTACATTACTATTACTATTTTCCATAACATCTATGCCCTTCTATAACATTAGGTGATGTTAAAACTAACAGATAGCACTATAGCTATTTATTGATCAGCAATCTGTCAACGCTGGGATGTAAAAAATATGGGACAACAAATAGCTTCAAATGATAGAATACACAGCAAACATTAGAAAGTATTGACAATAAAATAAAAAGTTTAGCCTATTAAAATCAATGGCCTATACAGAAATTAAATAAAGCTATTAAATATATTACACTTTTAATTGTATTTGCATATTGATTAAAGTTACTATAGTTATTAAGTGAAGAGCAGCAAATGAATCTCTCATTGTGTTTTGTTTGATAACAGAGGTGTTCATGTAAGAATGCACAGATCTATAATGAAGCATTCGACTACTTTAGTAACTGTTTGTGCTCATTTAAGAGAAAATTAATAGTGTTTAAAATAAAACACGCAGGACAGAGCAAAAAAAAAGAGCACTTTTCCGACGGTCCCTTACTGAGAGCTCCACTCAGCGCGAGCTCTCCTGGCTAAACGCAGATTGCGAGGGCTCAAACCGAACAGTGGTGTTAATGTCGAGCGAAAAAAAAAAAAAAGAAAAAGGCAGCTGTGAAACATAACCAGCTTTGTCTTTTTGTAGGAAACACACTTTAGATATTTTTAGGGTAAGAGGTTTTTGAGTCATTGCCGTCTATGGTGCTGGTTTTGATTCATCATTTGAATCATTTGATTCAGTCACAGCTCGTGTACATTAATTTCTAAGAGTGTACGATAAAATTTAATAAATACCAAAAATATTGCTCAATGTTGTTATTAGTTGATGGTTGACGTATTAACTAACAATAACCACTGATCATAAGCCATATTTTTTGCTACCTAACAAACATTGTTAGCATTACATGATACTGTATGAATACAACTAATGTATTGTAATGTAAAATTGTCATAAAAATTAGTTTTAATCACTCGAGAGAGTCAAATAATTAGCAATTTAAACATTGTTACTCAAACCACATACACACACACATACTAATTATTTCTAATAGTTTTAATTCACTTTTAAATCAGGTTATGCATCAGACGAGCAAATGGGTGATTTTGGTAATTTCAGTCATTAAAATGAATAGTGAGAAATTAACGCTAATTGAACTGTGGGAAATATCGTTAGTGATCTTGCATTAAATGAGATTGTCCAGCATTGGTGTGTGTTTGGGAAACAGGCTCAGTTTAAGCGTGTGAGTTTCGATTACTCAGAGATGTTGTTTAATTGTGCCAGAAGAGGACTGTCTGTTGAATCCTCATGCCACTTGTCATAACAAACCATCACATGCTAGGAATTCAGAGTAATTTTAGCATGAGGTGAGTTAGGCGTTAAAGATGCGCTCCGTCATTCAGAAAGTTGGATGTTTAGGAGGACAAACAAGTTTTACTGTGCATTTGACTGCAGTTTAGAAGCCTTGCTAAATGACCAATGACTTGCTAAAACCTGGCCATTTAAAAAAAATACTATAGTAATTTCTAGTAAATAATGTTTTAATCCATATTATTGAATTGATCTTGTGTGGTGGTACTATGGCCCAATCCCACTTTTATTTTTGTACCCCTTCCTATTCTCCTTGAAACAGAGTGTGAATGGAAAGGGATTCAAAATGTACCTCTAACGCCCCGTTTACACTAGTGCGTTTTAGTTTTAAAACGGCGTTGTAGAATGAAAACGATCCGCGTCCACTCGCGTTTTACCCAGCGTTTCTGAACAGCTCTCCGTCCACACCAAAACGCTGAAAACGCACATCACGTGACCACACACACACTCTCGGGCAAGCACTCCAGCATTTCTACCCAGATGAGAGCTCTGCTTGTCGGACTGCTCATCAAGCATCTCCCGCTGGATCTAATCTCACTATATTTGCTAAACTTGATATTTCATTCATGTTGTTGTGTTTATCTAACGACATAGGCCAATTCCCTGACTTTGGTCATTGGAATCTATTAAGTTACTTGTTCACGGGTAACATGTTTTGGTTAAGCGCAAAGATAAGTTAATGATTAATCCAGGTACATTGACTGATCGCTTGCCTTTATTTCCTACAATGTATAAACTTATTGTATGTTATACTTTTATAATTATCGATTATTAAAACTGATATTCAGCAAAAGAGAGGGTGCGTTTCGTATTTTCACTGAAACTGAAAGGAGGCAGTTGTTATCGGCTCCGTTTTGTTATAAATATCCACACAGTGAAGATGACGCTCATATATGCAGCACGACGCCTCAACATTTCTGCTGTCTGTTAAGTTGCTAATATTAAAAAGAAAATAGGCAGTTCCTTAAATCATGTTTACATTTTATTGTTGAGAAAGTGAAACAACGTAGCCAGGGTGATGTGAATGAAGTTATAAAGTACACTGTTCCCTGTGAAGATTGACGCGTGTCCTCGGTATGTTTTCCATATCAAGCTGAAAAGGGGGAGACTGCAGCCTTGATCAAACTTGCGAAGTCTTAACTTACAAGAAGAGGATGCGAGACTGAACTGTGTGTGGGCTACTTAATATTGAGGAAAAGCCCCAATCAGATAGACGAACGTTTGCAGCCCCGCCTCCGTTTTCAGATGTCTCCGTTTTCCCTCATCCCCACTGAGACGGAGCAGCAGCGTTTTAGAATGAAAACGGCCTCTCCAGCGTTTTCAAAAAGCTCCGTTTTCGGCGCTCGAGAACTCCGGCGTAGTGTGGACGGATGGCGTAACCGTAGCAAAACTTATGCGTTTTCAAACTAAACGGGGCCTAAGAAATAGGACCGCACCTGCACACGTCATCATATGTCATCGCGATCTCTTGCTTCATATGGGATCAGACGGTGGTGACCGATGTAATTATTCCAGTTGCGTTATTATTCAGTATTTATCTTCAGGAAGTCACTAAAGGCATATGTTTTGTGATCATAATGATATAATGTGACATTAAGATCACAGCTGTACTGTGTATTTACACCGTGGCCATATTCATCTATGTAAACCAAAAACAACATTAACATTATAGCAGACACTGTAAACTGGTCATTCCCAGACACTAGACTTTTCTGACAGGGTATTCGAGTGTCATCGAGTGTCAGAATCTTGTAGTATCACTATACAGTAACAGGAGTTATTATAATGGATTATAGATAGCCAAATTTAACGGTTTTTATTTTAGCGTTTTTTTTTTTTTTTTTTAAAGCTTGACGGTAAAATATAATATATATGTATGTATATATATATATATATATATATATATATATATATATATATATATATATATATATATATATATGTGTATATATGTGTATATATGTGTATATATATATATGTATATATATATATATATATATATATATATATATATATGTATATATATATATATATATATATATATATATATGTATATGTGTATGTATGTGTATAATCTCAGATTTTTTTTTTAAAGATGAGCAGTAAAAGACACTGAATGTTCTTAAAAAAAGCTTTTTTTTATTGTATTCCAGTTCTTAAATTGATTCAGTTTACCAGGGATTATTCTAATATACAAATACCACACACATTTATAAAAATGACTCTCACTGAAATCGTTCTTGCGATAAAGAGCAGTAAAGTGCATATCTCAGACATGTCCTGTGACTTCTTCTTTTTTCATTTTTGTTTTTAGATCTTTAAGAAATGGCAATATATCGTAACCAATAATAAAACATCATCAAACAAATAGTGCAAGTTCCCACCAGCAGCCACAGAAGGGCTTCAAATAGATATACATACACGCATCTTTAAGCACCTTCATTGTACATGGCCATTGCATTTTGCACACCAAAATAAAAACATAAACACCTTGAACTGTTTTATTTCACTGTAAAGTTGCATTTCAGGTCTCACCTAGGGTTCTTGTACAGTGGCTCTTGGTTTGTCAGACTGTATTTTCTGTTTGACGAGTCCTGAAGGGGGAAATATGTGAGATTTTATCTGCGCTATGCTTTCTCATTACAGTATTGTTTTGAATTGATGACACACATTTGCTTTGAGAAACCGGAACACAGATGTCTTAGTGTCTTTATAAAAGCATCTTAATAAAATATAGCAGAGGCTCATTTAAATATGCATGAAAATATTGTTTTGTTTCCTGCTAAAGGTTGTGGACCTTTCCCCCAGTTTTAGTTTCCTGTACACGATGCTTCATATATGAAAAAAACTGCTTTGCAAAGAGATTTAAAACATTTCAAGTTTGTTCTCAAACAATGTGTCTTTGGATGTTTTACAATGTTCAGTATAGAAATACTTGCATTACGATAATGAGCAGTTTCACTGGAGAAAGCCGGCTACACATTATTCATTTAAAAAGCATTTGATTGAATCAATTTCTTTTTGAGAAGCACAATATAAACCGCTTCAATCCCGAAAGTAATTACGAGATAAAATTACTTGCATGATTTAGCTTTTGTTTAGTTGCATGATTGACTGTTGATTTGTATTATGTATATCGCTTGATTCGTTTTTGGCTGTAAAAAAAGTTTGTTTTTAAATCCTGAGAGGATTATTTGTCTTTGTGTTCCTGTGGTAATTCTAAGCATGTAACCACTCTTGTAAGTTTGCATAGTGGATGCACAGCGTAATTTAGCTTCACTGACAACTCTTTAATTATAAAAGCTTAAATGCAAACATCAAAGCTTCTAGCTTATATCAGCAGGACATGTTTTTTCTTTCTGCATACCTGATTGTCAGTTTTTATTTATGTTTTTTTGCATTCAGTTTTCACATACTCCACAGTCTATAAGCACATCATCCGTGTTAGCAAACGAAACATCAAAAAACAGCTTTAACAAATGCACATCCAAGATATGAACAAATCATTTAAAAAGCATTTAAAATCCCTGTCGTTCCGTTCGGAAGCAGACTTAAGAAATAAATGAAGAAAATTCTTTTTTCATGTTACAGAGTCTGAACCCGGTTCGTAAAGACTTGTGGCCTCTGAAGCGAGCAGCTGTTTCAGTCTGAGCCAATCAGAGCTCGGTTGGTTCAAACAGAAATTAATATTCTGTCATTAATTACTTGTCCTCTTGCTGTTCCATACACATAACTTTTATTTATACCCAGAATACACACACTAAATGTTTTCAAATTAAAATCTAAGGTTTCTGCTTCTACATTGATAGCCTCCAGTGGTGAAAACCTATGGGAAGTTGCTGAGACTTTTATTTCAGCATGTTGATGTACTTCCAATGGGGTCTTTTCATTTTAGCCAGCCAGTCTTTAAAAAGGAGCGTTCTTCACTGCCTGATTGATACTGTATACGATATGAAGTGGGTCTCAAACTGGACAAGAAGCACTGCATTCAATTTCTTTTTACCCCGCCATGTCTTTTATAATATGACTGTTTATTTTACCGCAGTATTTTCAATGGAATTTCTTTGCTCGTCTGACGCTAGCGGTTAAACGGTCATTTATCTTGTTTTGCACTTGAACAACTAAATAAATGCTTAAGTCTGTTTAACTGAATGTGTTTTAATTACATTACAAGATTGATGCTGTAAAAGGAAAGGAACCTTATGAAATTGAAAATAGTCACATAAACCTTTCACCGAAAGTTTATCATTAGGTGAAAAACACTGGCTGTGCAAATACCCCACTGAAACGGAAAATTAAGTAGGCTTTCTTTTTGCACATAATTCTCTCAAAGATACTAATAGTAAGAGAAGGAGCCAATCAAAACGCAAAAGCAAATGCTCAGCTAGTAAAATAAACATTGTAAACAGCTGTAGTACGTTTCTTTTGGTCCGGACCAAGGTTACAATGAAACATTGTACCATTTTGGTTAATTTAGAAGAGACTGACTGCTCTGAACTAAACCGGTTGAAACAAACCAAATAGGAGTCACGTGATAACATTTACATCAGTCGTTGGCTAGACAAATTTCCTCATCTGCAATTTGTTTGGTCAAAATTAATGCATTGGATAAGTAAACAAAGAGCGAAGGACAGCCGTTATCTAGACGAATTTCCTGAACCGCATTTTGATTGGTCAAAATTAATGCGTGGGATAAGTAAACATTGAGCTTCTATGAGCAGATTTTTATTGGTCCACTTTTGCCGCACATCCATGTATGATTGCCGCTTTCACACCTGTCCAATCAACCCCCATCAAAAAATGCAACGAAACTCCTGACTGCTCTGAACTTAACCAGTTGAAACAAACCAAAAGTAGCCGGGTAACAATGTATTTTTTAAGTCGTTGGCTGGACGAATTTCCTGAACTGCAGTTTGATTGGTCATATTGAATGTGTGGGATAAGGAAACAAAGAGCGGAGAAAAAGTTAGCAGGCAGTATGGCCCTCTTCACAACTCCATCTGTGTCCGTAACCTGCTATAATTGCAGTAAGGTGTCAAAAAGTGCATGTCTTAAGTGCAGCTTACTACAGCAGCTGTTTTAGTCCAAAAAGGCAACATACTTTTTGCATTTGTGTTAGTTTACGTTCTCACCCCAAACAAACCATTTGAGAGTTTGTTTGTAATAGTACTGAGACTACTACTTTGAGAAATTTTCATTGGTCTTGTTTTGCTGTGTACGATTGCCGCAACAAACTTGTGACTGCTCTGAACCTAACCAGTTAAAACAAACCAAAAAGTAGTCACGTGACAACATCACTTGTTGGCTAGACACATTTCCTGATATGCAATTTGATTGGTCAATTAATGTGTGAGATAAGTAAGCAAAGAGCTGAGGATATGTCAGTAGGAGGCAGTATGGCCCTCTTTACAACTCCATCTTTATCCGTGATCTGCTATATTTGTGATAAGGTGTCAAAAAGTTAGTCATAGCTTACTACGGCAGGTGTTTTAGTCCAAAAAGCCAAAATACTTTTTGCATTTGCGTCGGTTCACATTCTCACCCAAAACAAAAAGCTCCAGAGTTTGTTTGGAATAGTACAGAAACCTTCTTTGAGCAGATTTTCATTGGTCCGGTTTAATGCGCACTTGATTATGATTGGCACTTTCACACCTGCCCAAGTAAACCACACCAAAAATGCAAACAAACTCTGGTACTAACTATAAAGGAAGTTCAGTTCCAAAGCAGTGGACTAATCAGAATAACTCTGATGCGGGGTTGCAAGCTTCTGTTTACCGTAGCAAGTTGGCACACTGTAAAAATTCTTACCGCTTTAAATTTTGTAGTTCAATCAGTCTAACTTTTCTAGTTATTTCAACTCGCATCAATCAAACTGACTTAAAATATTAAGTTTTAAAAATTGTTGAAACCTGAACAACTTATAAAAATGAGTTTAAATATTTGTTGTCTTGACTTTTTTTGTTATTACATTTCTTACAATGCATGACAACTGTTTTATTCTATGGCAACAATGGCGGAGGATACTCTTTAAAGTGCCAATGAAATCAAAACTAACCATATTGATTTTGTTCGCTCGCATTGCCAGTTTTGTGGTGATCAATTCATCTGTGCATGTCATTAAGAAAAAAACAAAAACATTGTTTTTCCTTGTAATTGAAATCTGAAAATGCACTTCCTGTTTGTTCTCAGGTAAATTCTCAGCTATTGTGCGTGGCTACTTAACCACGCCCCTCCAACTATCAGACAACAAACAGAAATGGTGTGGAGGAGATGTCTGTTCGGTTGTAATAACTCTCCCCAATCACTTTTCCCCATCTTTCAGAATGAAACGCCTACTTTACAACATCCAATCAGCTTGCAGTAGAAAAAAAACAATCCCTGCCCATTATTTTCTCATTTAATATTCTGTTTCTCTATGTACTGCGTAATAATATGTAAAAAATAGTGGCAGCTTCCAGTTCATATGGACTTTTAAATAGTATTTTGCATTTCTTTAAGTGCAAATCTGCGTTCTGAACAGCCCATTAGGTGTATGGAACATCACAAGGGATTAATTAATGACAGAATATTCAATTTTTTAGGGTGAACTAATCACTTAACGAAGTCAGTTTGCGGCCTCAGGAATAGGCGGAGCTCGTTCCAGCCTCACAGCCCAGGGGTCAGAGGTCGGCGAATAAAAGGCCGGATGAGGCAGAACGTCCTCAGTGGCCACGAAAGCAAAAACGCCACGTTTCCGGCTCGCGTCCTCTGAGATGATCTTTCTGTCTTCGATATCGCCCTCCTCCAGCGTCTTTGGCTGCTGTTTCTCCACCATCTGAGCGGCAGGGAAGCGCAGGGTCCGGTCCGGCTGGAGAGCGCTGGGATCGGGAGGGAAGAGAAAGTTGCTGGAGCGCCAGGCAGACGGTTTTCGGCCGCGGCGTGGGCGCGAGACACGGCAGCTTTGCCTCTTGATGTGCCGGTGCAGGTGGTCGGATCGCGTGAAGCTCTTGTAGCAGTGCTCACATTGGTACGGCCGCACGCCTGTGTGGATGCGCAGGTGGTTCTTCAGGTCATAGTTGTGAACGAATTTGGAGTTGCAGTGCAGGCAGATGTACGGCCGCTCGCCTGTGTGCTTGCGCATGTGGATCTTCAGCTTGTCTTGTCTGGAAAAGAGATTAAAAAAAATCCAATAGTTTAAATCTTCACTCTAAAAATGACGTTTATTAGTGAAGTTTATTCATAAACAAATTTCGAGAGGATCATGTGCTTATGATTGTTCACAGCTGTTCCAACTTTAGCTAATAACTGATTATCCTATCAGACGATCCTTAACTCACTATAAATAACCAGACTTTTCTTATCTCAATATCTTCATCTTGAAGAAACCCCCCCACCCAACCCTACTTTCCCTCCTTTTAAACGGGCGTCACGGTGGCCAGCGATTAGCGCTGCTGCCTCACAGCAAGAATGCCCTTGGTTTAATTCCTTTCCAAACTAGATGGCATTTCTGTGCGGAGTTTGCTCGTTCTCCCCGTGGTCGCGTGGGTTTTCCCCGGGTCCTCCGGTTTCGTCCCACATTTCAAAAACAAGCACCCCAAACAATTAATCAAAATACATTAGCTAAACTCTGAGTACACCTTGCAGCATACATATCCGACACTTAGCTACAACAAGCAAGAAGGGGAGTCATCGAGATCTACCTGAGCTCAAACTCCCCTCCCGCCTTGCAACGGGAGGGAGCCCAGGGCTCGAGTATCTTATAAGCTCAGGGCTCTCTCCCCGGACAGCACGCCAAACTAGCTTTACTATCAATCATCAGCTAAGTGTGAACTCTTGAAAAATGATTTATTTAAATGAGCTGGAATGACATGATTCTTGAGTTTTTGTGGGGGAGGGTGTGACACCTTGGTTGTTTTAAGTTTAATCTTGTTTCAAGATTTAAAGATTTATTCACTTCAAAAATTTCTTTACTAAACAAATGACGTTTGCTGTTTTATGTTCAATCTACTTAAATTGTTAGAAGAAAATAAGAGGTTAACTTAATTCCTTCATGTTGATTCAACATAAATTGATTGTATGGAGCCCTGAATTTTATTACAGTGTTTCAGGCATATATTTAAAACAAAAATCAGCTGATGAACCTTTCAAAGAGAGACATTTTTATGTAACGTTTGTTCAGTTTCAGTCTTCACATTAAAATATCTTGCTTGTGAAAAGGGACAAAAGAATTTGCCATTACAATATACTCTAGGGATAGTTCACGCAAAAAATTTAATTTACTCACTTTTTTTACTCGCCCTAAAAATGGTTATGAAGTTTTATGTGTTTCTTCTGTAGTAGAAAGTTGTTATTTTGAAGAATGCTGAAAACTGGTAACCATTAACCGTGTCTCATTTCAGAGGCTGCGTCCTCCGAAGGATGCAAACTTCAAAGGTGAGTCCTTCAAGTCCACACAGGCTGAACTGAGCGTTTTGAAATGAGATGATCTAGCCTACAGATCCCATCACCAGGCAACTGCAACAGCTGCTGTTAGTGAGCAGTAATAAAATTTGTATTTTTAAAACTTATTTTAAGCAAACTTAAGGCAAAACAAGGTTTATAAAAGCTGGAAATATATTTCCTTTGATCCATACATGTACACATAAACTGTCTATAAACTCACTTTTTAGTAATACATGTCATACTATTTTTGTTTTTTAACGTGTTTACATATCCAAGTAAAATAAACTTAATTCATACATTTAAACCGGAGTTTTCTTTTAAAAGCGTCCTGCCGTTTTTGGTGCACAATGAACCTTGGGACGTTCGAGGCCGCGAAGTTGGAGGCTGCGTTTGAAGGAGCATTTGAATTTTTTTGGAATGAGGCTGCCTTCGTAGCTCCGCGATGACACAGCGCACTTCAAATGCATCCTTCGGAGGATGCATGCAGCCTCTGAAATGAGACACAGCCATTGACTCCCATAGGAAAAACATACTTAGTGGCCTCAGTGGTTACAGCTTTCCAGCTTTCTTCTTTTGTGTTTAACAGTAAAAACTTTCAAAAAAAAAAAAGTTTTGAAATGGTAAAAGGCGAGTAAATTATGACAGAATTTTCATTTTTGAGTGAACTATCACTTTTAAAGACCCCAAAATACTAATTTGTTGTCATTTAAAATGTGTATTTCACATTTTGTGTGACTCTACAATACGAAACCAGCCATAGGGTATTTTTAAATATCAAGAGCTACAGGTCCTATGAAAGATGAATAAATAAGCTTTTCTATTAATGTCTGGTTTGTCAATAAGATGATATTTACTAATCTTTACTAATAATACTCAGCAATAATATTATTTATTAATCAATAGTTGAAAATCGGATATATAAGTTAAAAGAATCAATAAAGAAAATCACCTAAAATTATGTTTATTTGATATATGTTATCAAAATATGCATTTATAGACTTTTATTATTATTATTATCATTATTATTTACAGATTTTAACCAGGACTTTTTTTGTTCACACACATTCTTCTAAACTTTTTAGTTTTTTGTCACAAATATGAGCACAGCTCTGTACGAATCCACACAGACACACTGCAAAAATGCTTACCTTATCTTTGTCCTGTTTCTAGTATAAATATCTAAAAAAATGTAATCAAGAAGCGTTTTCTAGACTAGCGAAAAATATTGTCTTGTTTTAAGAAGTAATATGGCAAAAATCAAAAGTTACATTTGTTTTAAACAATCTGCCAATGGAGTAAGCAAAACAATCTTTTGTCAAATATAAAAAAACATTATTTTGCTTGTTTTAAACAAAAACTCACTTAATTTATTTCTTAAAACGTGACTATTTTTTGCTCATCTAGAAGTATTTTCTTGATTTATGAGTTTTTAGATAATTGTACTAAAAACAAGACAAAAAAAATCTATTGAGCCAGATCAGTGTAAAAAATATTATATTTACAAACTGAAATTCCCACAGCCACAACACAATTCACATGCACAAAATCCAATTCAAAGTTCAAAACCCGTTTCATAAATGCACAAATTCAATTCATTTGGTGAAAATATAAATATAACGCACAATTTGTGAATAGGGTTTTGAATCTACTTGTTTTAAAATGTATTTCTTAGAACAAGACAATTGTATTTTTTGCTCGTCTAGAAAATGCTGCTTGATTTTTAAGAGTTTTTAGATATTTGGACTAGAAACAAGACAAAAAAATCTATGCAAGATTAGGCTCAAAATAATACATTTACAAACTAAAATTCACACAGCCACAACACAATTCACATATACAAAACCCAATTCATGAGTTCAAAACACTATTCATAAAAACACAAATCCAATTGATTTGGTGAAATATTGTGTGTTGTATTTTTGAATCGTGTTTTGAATCTACAAATTGGATTTTGTAAACGTAAATTGTGCTGTGCACGTATGAATTTCATTTGGTAAATGTATTATTTATGAGAATAATCTGGCTCCATAAATCTAAAGCAAGCTTTTTTCCAGTGCTCACACACTCTGCAAAATATCTTTACCTTAGATTTTTTTGTCTTGCTTTTAGTATAAATATTTAAAATATCTTAAATCAGGAAGCATTTTCTATACAAGCAAAAAATTATTGTCTTGTTTTAAGAAATAATGTGTCAAAATGAAGGTTTAAGTTTGCTTAAAACAAATAATCTGCCAATGGGGTTAGCAAAATAGTATTATGCAAAAAAGAAAAAAGAAAAACAAGATTATTTTGCTTTCCCCATTTGCAGATTATTTTGATTGTTTTAAACAAAAACTCAATTTATTTATTAAAACAAGACAATATTATTGCTCGTCTTGAAAATGCTGCTTGGTTTAAGAGTTTTTAGATATGTGTAAACTTGAAACAAGAAAAAAAATTAGGGAAAGCAGCACACGCACATATTTTTATAATTTTTTTTGTCTTGTTTCTAGTTCAGATATCTAAAAGAAATAAATAATGTCTTGTTTTAAGAAATATGCCAAATAACAAGTGAGTTTTTCCTTAAAACAAGCAAAATAATCTGCCAATGGGGTAAGCAAAATAAAAAAATCTTATGTTAAAAATGAAAAAAAAAACAAGATTATTTTGCTTGAGAAAATGCTTTTGAGTTAAGAGTTTTTAGATATATGGACTAGAAAAAAGACAAAAAAATCTAGGGGAAGGAAAGCAGTTTCTGCAACACACACACACACAAACACACACACACACACACACACACACACACACACACACACACACACAGGTGTACGCCTTCATACTTGAAAAGCAGACAGCTGCAAGTTGCTCAACAGAAGCAGTGACACAAGAAAAGCCAGAGAAGGCGAAAAGCGAAACGCTCAGGATTTTGTGCTCCTGTTATGTGGTATCCAGATGAGTTATCCAGCCTCCGTTTGATCTATTTCTCACTCTAGATCTCACTCATCGAAATTTCATTCCTCTACAGAGCGTTTGAGCCCAAAAGTGAAATGTAGGTTTTATAATAACATCACTCCGACTCCTTTGTGTGTTTTTATTACAGTGTGGAAACCTCATGCAACCACAGTGATGCATAAAGTGTTTCACAGCAGGTTCGTCCTTATGATGCTGCTCTAGTTTTCACGCGCCACTTCATTGTTGTAACACTGAAGCTCGGCAGTTCAAAGAGGCTGTTTATTTTCGCAGACAGTCGGTGTAATTTGTTTGAGGGAGAAAAAATGAAAAAAGCATAATGGGGTTACATGACAGCGAGTCCGAATTATTTTCTGCTAAATCCGTCATTGTAAAACATTCACGCTTTATTCAATTTGTCTGCTCCTTTTTGATGCACGTTCACTTTTAAGTGTGTTTCTCTTGCACTCTGTTTGCTTGAATTGATGTCAAAAACAGTCCTGAATTGTTCACCCAAAAATGAACATTAGAAGTGATGTTCATGTCATCGTATGGGTGGAAAAAAGCCTTTTTTTCTATACAGAACAAGGAAAGTTAAAATGATTTCGACTACTAGTAGTTGTTGCCGACGGCTTGCTCTTTGCAACTCTCACATGGTTACCCACTGAAGCTAAGCAGGGCTGCGCCGGTCAGTAGCTAGATGGGAGACCACATAAGAAAGCTAGGTTGCTGCTGGAAGTGGTGTTAGAGAGGCCAACAGGGGGTGCTCAACCTGCGAGTCCTAATACCCCAGTATAGTGAATGGGACTCAATACTGCTCAGTGAGCGCCGTCTTTTGGATGAGACGTCCTGACTCTCTGTGGTCATTAAAAATCCCATGGCAATTCTCGTAAAGAGTAGGGGTGTCCTGGCCAAATTCTGTGGTTGGATCCCTAAATTTGCCCACTGGCCTCTGTCCATCATGGCCTCCTAACTATTCCCATATCATAATCGGCTCCCCATGTCATCACTCTGTCTCCTCTCCACCAATCAGCTGGTGTCTGGTATGTGGTCTGGCACAATATGGTGGATGCTGCACACTGGTGGTGGATGAGGATGGATGAGGATTGTGAAAAGCGCTTTAAGTGTCTAGAAAATGTATAGTAATAAATCTAAGGAATTATTATTATTATTGTTGTTGTTATTATTATTATTATTAATATTATTATTATTAGTAGTAGTAGTAGTAGTAGTAGTAAACTTGTCCTTGACAGGAAATTTGTTATGGGCATCACGATATTGATGCAGACATTTCATAAAAACAGTACAAAATTGTTACAATAATTATAATGCTAATTAGGAGAAACTCTTGTTTAATAAATCCACTGAAACAGGTGCAAAGGACTCTACATCTCCTACCAGAGGGAAGCAGTTCATAATGCGGAAAAAAAAATGAGTTGGATTATTCAGAATCCTTTCCATCTGTTTATGAATTCTCATCTAAAACTTGAGGATTAAAATATTCATCAATATTAAAATATAATTTTTGATTATGCAAAGTATGATTGTATGCTAAAGTTTGCCTGAATTAAATCTGCGGATATCAGGATGCTGTGCACTGTAAAGTCATTCTATGGTCATTTTTTTTGCTTTAAAATTGCTTAATGTCTGTAATAAAATCTTATCAATTTTATTATAGTAATTTAGCTATTACATTTGAATCATTTAAAAAAGAGAAAATATTAATTAAATCCAACAGGATTAAAGTGAGCATTTTCAAATTCACAATCATTTTCTGTTACAGTGATCAATAATTAAATCAATAATTTTAGTTAGTATTTGCTAAGTACTGTTTGCAGTTACTCATTTTGAATGACTCATTTTAAATAAGCCAGTTTAATTGTTACCCAATCCATATTTGCAGAATTTAATTATTAATATTGCTTGTAATCTGTTACCTCAGTTTTATTGAGTAGATATAGGGTTATTTTTTACAGTGTGTAGTTTATGAAATCAATAAAATCCTACTTGTATTGACATCATGCTGCTTTGTTTACTTCTGTAACCAAAGCTACACCATTATTCCTGCAGTTCTATAAGTGCCAACCTGCTGAATTCACTAGATTTAATAGATTTTTATTCAGTGTATGAATTAAGTTTTATTATTGGATTCATTTCTTACATTAATGTTTAGTAAATATACTGTAAGTTAAAATCTCGCCAGTGTTTCTGCTTGAAAAGTGGTTCTAATGTCTTAAAATGTATGGAAAGAGTCTTTAAAAAGGTCTTAAAAGATATTGAATTTCACTCTCTGATTCCTATATAGTCTGTAATATATTGCATTAATAGACCTGACAAGTGTCACTAATCTTCTTTATTGTACTCTATTTATCTTTATTTAGGATCAAGACCCTAAAAGGGTCAATTTTAAAGAGTTATAAAACAATATTTGTGTGGTATTTTGAGCTGAAACTTACACATACACACTCAAGGGACATTAGAAACTTATTATGCATCTTGTTAAATGGGTCCCCTTTAATATTGCATTAACAGACATGACTAGTATAACTTATCTTCTCTATTGTACTCTATTTTCTCAGGATCGTAGGCTAAAGTGTGCATTAGTATCACCTTAACTGGACTCACCTGGTGAAGCGGACCTCGCAGATGGTGCACATGTAGGGCTTCTCTCCGGTGTGTGTTCGCATGTGACGTGGCAGCTTTCCTGCACCTTGAATCACCTTGTTGCAGATTGGACACTGCTGCGACGCCTTGGGCTTCATCTTCCTCTCCTCTTCCAGCTGCCACGGAGGAAACAGCGTCCCGAGATGAGAAGCGGAAAGAAAGTTCAGGTAGGACCGTAGATCTGTTCCCTCTTTGATTGCACCAAGCGAGGGATCTGCAGTCATCCCCAATCCAGGACTCATGAAGTCTTTGAGGAAGTCTCTGTTAAGGATCGGGTTCGTAGGTTCGTCTTTTAACTCCTCTTTGATGACTTCTTTTTTGACCGCAAGGTCTAAAGGGCCGTTTTCCAATGAAGCATTTGGGAATGGCCGTCGGGGCTCCAGAATCTGAGGGTAGCCTGGGAATTCTGCTGCCCACATTGGAGGGTAGAATCCTGGGAGTAGACAGATGCCGATATTCAGTAATTCAGTAATATTCATGGTTCAGGACTGGTAGAGCTATGCATCGATGAATTTGCTCTTCAGTGTTTGAACTCTCAGTAATGATTAAATCACACTGAACTGAGCTAAACTGAACTAAACTGAACTTAAACACTAAAACCTGAACCACACTGTTCCAGTTACTATGACCATTTATGTGAAGCTGCTTTAACACAATCTACATTGTAAAAGCGCTATACAAATAAAGCTGAATTGAATTGAATTAATTAGATACAGTTTAAGTCAGAATTATTAGCCCCCCTTTTAATTTCTTGTTTCTTTTTAAATTATTTTCCAAATGGTGTTTAACAGCAATAAAATGTTCACCGTATGTCTGATAATATTTTTACTTTCTGAAAAAGTCTTATTTGTTTTATTTCGGCTAGAATAAAAACAGTTTTTAATTTTTTAAAAGCCATTTTAAGGTCAAAATTATTAGCCTCTAAGCTTTTTTTTTTTTTTTTTTTTTTACAGTCTACAAAATAAACCATCATTATATAATAACTTGCCTTATTACCCTAACCTGCTTGGTTAACCTGATTAACCTAGTTAAGCTTTTAAATGTCTCTTTAAGCTCTTTAATGTTTAGAAATGTGTTCAGGGTTCAACGCTAAGGATTTTTTCTACTAATCCAATCGGGCCAGAGGTTTAGATTTTTACTTGCCCTGCAAAAATTTTTATTGGCCCCACCAAAAAGTTTAAAAAATAAGAAGTTAATACTTTTTTTTTTTTTGCCAAATATTTTTAAAAAATATGTCAAAAATAAAGTCTGTGAATCAAGCATTTCAAAAGTTAATAAATGGTTAATGAGCAAAATTCTTAGTGTTATGCAAACAAAAAGAGCGGTATGGAAAATGTGGAGGTGTTTTATTACAGTTCGAAGTTATTTAACAAAAGGTGGCTGACTTGCCAAGCTGATGGCAAACTGTGCAAAACATCACTTCATTTATTTGTCGTGTTGTTCTCACGTTAATGTCTGCTTACAAGACGTTAGGAACATGACATTTTCATTTAGCCTTATAATGTGATGTTGTCGCCATGTTGCCATTTCTTCACTGTACTGATTTTCACCGGAGCTGCGTCCCAAATCGCATACTTATGCACTATTCTACGCCATTTTGTAGTATAAATAGTGTAAGTAGTGTGTTCACACTGAAAACTCTAAAAATAATAAGTGCACTTTAATTACCCGGATGATGCACTCATTCAGCCGCTAAAATGAAATGTGTTATGAAGAACACTTCACGCACTCAACGAACGCAGGTTTGCTCATGTAGCGGAAGGGGCGGAGCTATCGGGCACACATGTTGGACAACTTTATTTTGGATGGTGAATGTGGTTATACTCACGGCAGGTATTATTTGATATTTCGGTCGTTTATCTCACTGATTTGGTGACCGTCAAACGTCATCAGGGAAACAGTTTGAATTTCCACTTAGTAAAAAAATATTAGTGTGCCATTTGGGACGACACTACATAAATATACTATCCTGTTGAGTGTGTAAGTGCATTAGTACACAGTGTATAGTGTGCCATTTAAGACGCTGCTTAGGTTATGGGGAAAAACAGCATGCTCAAAACATCAAGAGGAACCGAAAAGCAATATAGTATCTACGTCATCACAGAGAATATAGCATTTAAAGACTTAAAAGCACAAACTTAAAATGCACGCAATTGACAAAAAGTCGCAGGGAAATTAAACTTAAGTGACAAAGCAGCACTGTCCTAATCGGGCCAGTAATAATCCTGTCTACTGTCCCAAGTGTCTCTCACGCTGGCCCTGGGCCACCGGGCAGTCCTTATTGTTGAGCCCTAGTGTTGAAAAAAGTCTTCTCTCTGCTAAATAGAAATCGAGGAAAAAAATAAGCAGGCGGGCTAATAATTCACGGGGGCTAATAATTCTGACTACAGCTGTATATGGTCATAATGAACAAAGTGACAATAAAAGGTGACTTATTTTTTTATGTTCAAACTTTTTTTGCTCTATCCACTTAAATAATGACAAAGGGAATACTGTTTCCAGGTCTAAGCTGTTACTCAGTTGAATTGAGAAAATATTTGTTAATGACCACTTTTTAGTCATGTCACACATTAAAGTGTATTTTTAAGATAAAATCATGGTGTACACAACAGTCCCTGGACTTGCTGCATCACAGAAGCTACTTAACAATTTATTAAAACATTATCACTTTCTGGCCCTCTGATATTAGGCATTGATATATTGCTAGTATTACATCGCTTTGTAAACATCTGTTATTACCAGTTGATGAGCCTCCCCATATAGTTTGAAAGAGCGCTTGGACCCAGAAGCCGCTTGCATAACGTCACACTTAACAAGCGGATTGCTTACATTATTGACATTTATTTAAATACTTGTTTATAACTTAAGCAGAATTACATGTCATTAAGGGACATGAACAGCAGCATCGTGAGAAAGTTGGAATCGCTTGTTGGACAGTACAATATTTTTATATACTTTTTTTTTTATGTTGGACCTGTAATAATTCGTTTTTTTAAGTGTTCCATAATTTATAAAAATTTACTTTATATTTCTAATTGTTTCAAGCTTTTTCCCTGAAATTATAAATAACGAATATGAGCACATATGGATGAAATTTCAGAAATTATTTTATTGTACATGCTTTAAAATGTAAAAGAAAAGTGTGTGTGTTTGTATGTATGTATGTGTGTGTGTAGTTTTATATATATATATATATATATATATATATATATATATATATATATATATATATATATATATATATATATATATGTATATGTATGTGTGTGTATGTATGTATATATATATGTATATGTGTATATATATATGTATATGTGTATATATATATGTATATGTGTATATATATATATATATATATATATATATATATATATATAATATTATGCACACATTGTATGTATGTATATATATGTATGTATGTATGTATGTATGTATGTATGTATATATATATATATATATATATATATATATATATATATATATATATATATATATATATGTATATGTATGTGTGTGTGTGTGTATTTTGCAATATTGTTATTCTAATACCATCATAAGCCTACCTGGGAGAAGAGGCGAGAATCCTGCACCTCTTTCCAGGCCGGGAACTTTCGGGTACAGCCCTTCTTGAAGTAAAGACTCAATGGAGAAGTCCTTCAACGCTCTGCCCTCCAAACCCTCAGGTGCTCTGGGTTTATCAGATTGCGGGGCTTCTGGAGACCCCACTTGGGATCTTTGGGACTCATCCCGACCTTTTTGGGAGCTGCAAGACGGACTTTCCGCTTCCCTCACCTCCCAAACTTTTCCCTCTTGAACATCCGGCCCATCTCCTTGCGCGGACTTCTCGCTGTTATTGTCCTCGAACTCTCCATCTTTCGAGTCGACCTCTTCCTCCATTTCTTCCT